ACATTGGTCTACCAAAAGTATATCTAAGATTTTGCATTTTATATCTGGAAGTCCATTAGACAGAGCCATTTTATATGTTGGTTGCTCTAATTACATCACAAGATTTTACTTAAAAAAAAAGATGCTACTTTGACAAATGAAATATGAATTCCCTCATCCTTTACAAATCAGATATGTAGATAATATAGATCATGGACATGACAGCAAACTTAGTAGATGCAGAAATTTTCAAAAGTAAAGAGGATAACTCAGAAAAAGAACTATCCTGGAAAATCTTGCTGTGAAATTGTGAGGCCTAATCTGAGGCCAAAAAGTGGAATGTGTGTTGCTTTCGTCTTGGTAGTGAAGGAACTATAAAAAATGGTCTCCTGGGGTTGGCCCAGTGGTGCGGTGGTGAAGTTCGTACGTTCTGCTTCGGCGGCCCGGGGTTTACTGGTTCGGATCCCGGGTGCAGACATGGCACCGCTTGGCAGGCCATGCTGTGGTACGCGTACCACATAGAAAGTAGAGAAAGATGGGCACGGATGTTAGCTCAGGGCCAGGCTTCTTCAGCAAAAAGAGGAGGATTGGCAATAGTTAGCTCAGGGTTAATTTTCCTCAAAAAACAAAAAAAAGGTTTCCAGTACCAAACATATTAAAGAGTAGAAATTGTGTGGTTTTCAGATTTTGCCCTTAGTTTACGATTTTCTTAAAGGAGTGTTTTTATATTTAGTAGATACTTTAGCTATCTTATTTTCTTTCAAGATTGAAGGCATTCTTCATGTACTATGTATTTATACATAAAATATTTCCAACAAAAAAACAAAGAAAATAAAACCAAAATGACTATAATTCTATGGACTGCAAAATTGTACCATTGAATATAGTGATCACATTGTTTTAATTTACTTGTTTGCCTTATCATAACAAAGATAAATACTCTGATGAAAAAGATTCTTAGGAAGCACACATACACAGAAAATATTTAAATTAATACACCATTCTAATTCAGGCATTGAAAATGGCTTCTTCATTTAATATAGTTTAACAAAAACATTTAGCATACATGCTACTAGTCAAGAAGTACATTACACATGTTTGTGTAGAAATGGGAGATGCAGGTAGTCACTTAGACAGCCATGCGTGATGCTACAGACACTAATTACAGGGTCCTATAGTAGATGGTTGCAGGAAATACTTCAACAGCCAGTAACTACCTAAAAACACTCATATCAAAAAAAAAATTCTTTCACTACATTTCACACAGTGGTAATGACAGAAGCAGCAAAGCACTTTTTAATTGGCTGTAAATTCTTGTATATCAAGGAATTGCAAATATAAAGTTTTGGATTCTGGGGATTATTGTTGGTAATAGAGGAAGAAATGTTTTCATTTCTTCTGCCAACTCACAGTTGCTGCATTTGCAAACATTGAGAAAATATTACAGAAGCCCTATTAAAAAAGGGCTAAATCTTTCCTGAAGAATGATTCAGAAATGCAAGATAATATTTATATCTCCACTCACACATTTCGGGAAATATTTTGGTAACTGTACATGTATATTAAATACTGAGTTTGCAAAATAGGTCCTTTCCTAGACTTTCTGTATATAGATTCATGGACCAAAATGTGAACACCGTTGGGTTAGTGTTCCACTTTGTCAAAATGTCTCTATTTGGAATTCTGAAAAGTTCTGACCATCTCTGATTTTAAAGAACCTTTATTATTTTTTCTGGACAACAGCACACATTTTTATGTCAATAAATAACTATCTATTGAGATGAGGAATTATGTGAGGCATAATTTTTTTTACCCTTCAAAAACTTTGAGTCTGAATAGAAGATAAGAAAGAAAAAATATAAGTTATACACGCTTTTTAATACTACTATATGCAAATCAGTGTGTCAGGCACCTTGAGAAATAATACAAAGTCCCCATCCTCGCAGAGCTTACGGCCTAGTTGGGGAAGACAAGGTGTAAATAAATGAGCACTTAAATAATATAATGGATAAGTTTAGTAGGGTTTAAGAAAGGTCAAGTGGTAGGTGTGAAATGAATGGTATAGAGTATTAATGCTGTAAGTTTTCACAGGAGGAGAGCATGACGGCGGGATGGAGTCATTTAAGTTTTCATGAGATAGTTTTTCTTGTGCACGTGTGAGGAAGATTGGTCCTGAGCTAACATCTGTTGCCAATCTTTCCTTTTTTTTTCTTCTCCCCAAAGCCCCAGTACGTAGTCGTATATCCTAGTTACAAGCCATTCTAATTCTTTACGTGGGATGTCACCACAGCTCGGCCTGATGAGTGCTGCATAGGTCCACACCCAGGATCCGAACCAGTGAACCTCGGGCTGACGAAGCAGAGCACACGAACTTAACCACTCAGCCACGGGGCCGGCCCCCATGAGCTAGTTTTTAAACATCTTTGAGTATACAAGAGGAAGGAGCAGGGAAAATTGCAGGAAAGTCACATTTACTGTGATGTTACTTTCCTGACGAAAACCTGGGCACTCTACTCTTCTTGAGTTTGCATTTTCACTTAAAATATCTGGGCCTCAGTTAACTGAAAGATTTGGACTGACTGCAGGAGTGAGTGATTCTATAGACAAAATTAGAGAGGTGGTAAACCAAAAAGCATGTTGGCAACAGTGACGGAAGGAAGACATGATTTTCAGGGCAGCATTTCTGAAGTTGAATAATACGTGATCTGCACAGAACCAGATCCACCCAGCTAGTCTAATTCATTCAAAAGTATTTGAAATCACCTAAATGTTAAATCTTCTTTTGGATATTGTATTTCAGAATTATGTCAGACACAAGTCCCGCTTTCAAGAACTTTACAATTTTCCTCAGCAGATAAGATGCATGCCTTAGTGACAATAATACAAGACACCATAGGCAGTAGATGCTAACATGAAAAGACAAGTGGGATAACCATATAATTTGTCTTCCAAATCCTTAAAAGAGGTAGCTAAATTATTAAAATTATGTGACTTTTGAGATATTTATTTATTGACTGACAAATTAGTTTTAATATATTGATGGAATCAAAAATTAGTTTTTTTAAGAAACCTAATTGAAAAATATTTTTTAAAAGTATGGCATATATCCATAAAAATTCAGGCAGAAATATTTTAAAAATTACATTAAAGGAATATTACAAGTAAAATAAGCAGAATAATTGTTTTAGGGACATAATCATGCATCTTATTCAATTTCTTAACTGAATATTTCTCTAATACTATGTCATTAATATTTATCTAATAAATATACTTTTCCAATATGGTCATACTATATTGAATTTTTCATAAAATTTCCTATAATTTTCTTCACAGTTGCATTTTCTGATTAATACATTTGAATTAACGGAAACTTCGATTGACTTTTCTCCATCAATCAGAATTTCCACCAAGAAAATAATGTCTTTAAATACGTTTCTGGAGAAGCACCATCAAAGATTCCTACTAAAAGTTGAGTTATCCCAGAGCGCCAATGCAGATTTACAAATTAAATGTCACACGTTCGAGTCCTCGTTGTTTAATTTGTTCAGTCTCCTTTTGCTCACAGGGATGAATTTCAAAATCTGCCTGCTGGCAGGCCTTGTTTTCAGTAATATCAATGTGTTGACATATTCAAAGCTGAAGTTCTTGGCCCTCCACACATTGAAAGAAATGAGTTTTGGCTGTGTGGGTAACTTCTCACTAACGTTATATTTGTTACCTATGCCACTTCAAACAGAGAAGAGATGACCAGAGTTTTGATTAATTCTCTTCTTCATTAAACAAAATGCTACCCTCACAATATTCACTGGGGTGCTCAATAAAATTAGTTTGAATATTAATTTATTATTAATATAGGATCAACAGTATCACTAATAATAGTTAAGTGTAAATATAAGGCTATAAGTATATTAGTAACAACGTGGATATATTGTTCTAATAAAAATACATCCAGATATTTTGCTTGATTCCACTCAAATTAAACCCCTGACGTCTGACTCCTGGGAAGCCTACGTGCCTCCACATCCTCAGCCCGGCTTGGTCACTTGTTATCCGAAACAACAAACGCTACCCGGAGCTGAATTTTCCTGGTGTTTCAAATGAGTATCGGACACACATTTCCAATTCCTCAAACTGCAGTAGGGAAATGAATCAGGAATCGTAGTCTCTAGGGAAGCGTTAACGGTCCTATTTCCATATTTAACTTATATTTTCCATTTTTAATGAATTTTTAGAAATCACTTTACATGGTTTCCTCAGGATTCTTCGCTTTATCTAACAACGACCTTCCAAAAATGACTTTGGCCTAGGTCTTGGGTTACCCTATAAGGAAAGGCCTCGCTTAAGGTTGGTAGATGCACTCTGGGATGTATCTTCTGCTGATTTTGCTCCCTTTTCCACGTGTTCTCTTCTTTAAGAATGTTGAGTAGAAGTGATCCTATTTATTATGCAAACATACAAAATATACCAGAGCACCCATAATATTTCCACACAGAGAATGTATGATTTCTGCCCACACATCCGTGACCAGCAATTCAATGCCATCGTATCCAAATCAGGACAGTGGTTTCCAGTGGCTGCTTGTATCCAGTGATCACCATCATATTTTTCAAGAATATTTACATTGTCTGTCAGCTCACCAGTTAAAATCTTTCACAGCTGATTTATGACACTGCAGTTTCTCCTTAACTATTGAACTGGATCTGTTCTGGCAACCGTATCAAAACACTGTGATAGATAAATGGTTGCCATTGCCAACTTGCACAAGGACTAGAAATTATTTTCATGTTCCAACTTTCTTTTAACAAAAATGCAACATTAAAGGGCCAGTCCTGTGGCCGAGTCATTAAAGGTCTGTGCACTCCTCTTCAGTGGCCCCGGGTTTACGAGTTTGGCTCCCGGGTGCAGACCTCCTCCACTCATCAGCCATGCTGTGGAGGCATCCCACGCACATACAAAGTAAAGGAAGATTGGCACAGGTGTTAGCTCAGGGCTAATCTTCTTCAAGCAAAACAAGAGGAGGATTGGCAACGGATGTTAGCTCAGGGAAAAATCTTCCTCGAAAAAAAAAACACCACATTTATACATAACTGAAGTTTCTACTTTGCTCTTTCATCTCTAATATCCAAGTTATGGGCATAATCTTAACACAGACTTAATAACAGCCATCTAAATTACAGCTAATACTGAAATCTCTCAGTAGGTATTTGCAGAATTTCTCTTCAAATTTTATTTTAAATAAGAACTGTTCTTTAATAGTCAGTAGTGTTTTTTTTTTTTTCCTGATTCTTTTTCTCCTTTGAGGCCTTCTGAGGATAATTACAAAGGAGTAAGGGAAGAATCGAGTAGAAAGAGCTACAGACAAACATCCCAAAGTCTTTTCCTGTTGCTGTCACTGATGGGTTAACTGACTGGGACCAAGACCGTGACCTTCCATTAGATTCAGTTTCCTAGTCTTTCTTTTGTGAATTTTAGCTGTACACTTTTCCTGTCTTTATCAATGAGTTCTCAGGAAAATTAAACTGAATAAGATGTGACAGAAGTTAAAAAGAAGTAATAAAAAACACAAGATAATACTGTGGCAAGGAACAGTTTATTTATTAATATTATTTTCTACTGATTTATTTAATTTGTTCGAGAAATCCAGGACAGTTCCTTGAATACAAGTGTTTCTCCTAGAAATTTTTTGAAAAGAATTAAACTGACCCTAGAGGAGCAAGCATTTATATGTAATGATACATTGACGTTTTTAGATGCCATAGGATGCTAAATTAATAAATCAGTACCTTGCTTTATCCTGCTGAAGTTCCTGCTAATGTTTCATTTCTTTATTAATTCTGGTAAATGTATGTTGCAGTGATTTATAGTATGGTTAGGCCAGACAATTTTTTGGAGAAAAGTCAGTTTTCTGGAGGGTGTACTCATCCTTTCCCTGACTTACTGCTACCCAAAATATGATGTGCTGGCAACAAGGATACTATGCACTTATAAAGGAAACCAGACCATAGTGAGAAATTCCACTCTCAACGTTGAGCATGGCATCTCTCCTGCCGACTGAACAGATCTCAGCAAAACTGAGCAAACATGAAGGGTTTACCCTGGAGCTCATACAGAGTTGGGCACCCGTGAATCTGCTTTCAATTTGTCAAGGGCTGTTACCACATATGGGTCATGAAACAACACAGGGTGAAGTCGGGGAGCATCTTCCCAAACCTCATATAATACCGATAATCAGATATTCAAGTGAAAAGGCAGAGAAACGTGAGAATCACAGATCTTATCAACTTATCCCAGCACATGACCACCGCTGTCATCCTCTTCACACAGTCACCATCAGCCATCTGCAACTGGGATACATTCCTAGGGGCAAAAAAGACCTCAAGCCTTATTGAGTTTCACAGGTTACTCCAGAGATATGATTCATCAAGGGATAATCATTCTGAGCACTATCTTTTTCTACTAAAAAGCATCACTCTATTTGGTCAGCTTTGATGGCCCAAAGAAGCTTGCTGGAATATCAGGTTCCAAGTATTAACACACCGCAGTGCTCTCAAACCACTGTTTTTATCTTATGGTGTTGGTACTTGGCACAGACACAAAATAACAGATGGCACAGAGATATCAGTGGTTTTCCATTCAGGAACAGTGTTATATACAAAACTCAATTATGCACAAATGGATACAGAAGCCTTTTGTACAAGAAGTTTTACCAACTACCTCTCCATCTGTGCTTTTATTAGTGGTACCAACAAAGCCTCTTCAGGGATTCTTTCTGAGGTTAAGCTACTCCCTTTAATGATAAAGACTGGAGTGCTTTGCTCAACACTCACGACCACAAAAAATGGAAGAACAATGTTGAAGGCTGACAACCTGAGCACCTGCCAACACCGATCACGGGATATCCCAACCACCTTCCCTGAAAATACTGATGTAAGATTTTCCTTCTGATTCTCATCTATGGGCTGATTACATTTATAGTTAACATTGCTGGATACTAGATAGTCTTAAATAGGTTATTGAGGAAATTTCCAAAACAGAAACATCTTAAGTAAAGGTTCAACAGAAATCACCTAGCCCAGAGACACGACTAGGTGTTTAGCACGCTGTTTTAGTTTTCTTACCATCACACTGGCAAATTGTTTGTCCCAAAGCATCAGTAGGAAGCTCCGTCTGATTGCTGAGGACTGACGTAATTATTGAAGTCAGTAGAACCAAGTAACTTATTCTACACTTCTTAGCATAACTTGTCAAGAGTGTCTGATTTTCTATCAGAAACTACTCAGAAGCCTTGGTTAAGAACGCTTATTGATTTTCAGGACCATTTTGGAAGAAGGACTTTATGACTTTTAAAGGCAACTTCTCATGTTTACTCAAAGCGGCCACAGTTTGATTTCAAGCCATTAGAGTGATGCTCACAACGCTGTCCCAGTTTATCTGTCTATCTACCTACCTACTTACCTGCAGTAGTTCATGATCATGAAATACTCAGATAGCTGACATAGAATCTGTGTTTACCTCAATTTATTTTAAGATATTTATCCACAGAAAGCTTATCTGAACTATCATTCTCAAATGACCATTCTCTCAAGTAAATGGTTAAAGTACTAACATGCTCAAGGTCAGTTTTATGAAAAGTCTGGCCAAACAAACAGTGATGGATTTCTCATTGCTAATCCACTAGTCCATATGATGAGTCAGTCCCTTTATTACTATTGGGGCTATGTCACAAAAGTGTCATCCGCCCTGCCAAGAAGTAGCTGAGAATTTGACATAAAAATGTCTAAGGTAAAAAATGTCATTATCCACTATGTAGCTATGATATCCACAAGGCTCATGCTTTGTCAGGAACTATGGGGGGGGGGGGGTGGTTAAGAAACTCTCTCCTCTATGCAGATGAGCATAAGGCCTCTGTCCCAAGAGTTCTAGAGCACAGGTGCAGCGGCATGACACTTGCCATATTGAAAAATGGAGAAGGAATTCCCTTGATGATCTGAAAACAGAAAATCATTTTAAGGAGCAGCACTAGTGTGTGTGAAAGTTTTGTTTAACTAATCTCCTAAGTATGCATAAGACTCATAGAAACGTTAGAACAATACCTCTTTGACAATCAAGGGAAATGGATGCTAGCGACATTAGCTAAATTCCTAGTACATACTAGGTATTTAACCTGGATGGAGTGAAGTCAAAATACAGTAATATAACACCGTTAAGGCCTCACAAAGGATAGACTCCTTACTGATAAATCTTCATGTCTTATAAGGTCAGGGAAATATGTACGGGGAAGGATGTTGGGAAAGAATGGTGTGTGTGTATGTGTTATAATTTACTCTAGAAGGATGCTACAGTTATTTAGGGCAGAGATTATAGTATGAAATGGTGAAAGGAAAGATGAATAATAATACTGAAATTAATATCACTAACATAATGTTATGTTATATATTATAATAAAATAGCAATAGAGAGTGGAGAACATCATTGAGAAGGAACAAAGTAGAAACCAGAGTAGACAGAATCTGGAAATTTTTGATCCTGATATTATGTAGGGGCTGAGGGTAAGTCATGGAGATGCAGATGCATAAAAGAAGAAGCCTGAGACGAAGGTCTCCACTTTGAAAGCAGAAATCAGACAGAATCTGTTCAATAAACCACCTACTGGATTTCTTGAAGACTCTCATAACATTCCAATCAACTCTCTGGAAAAATCTACAAATACACTTCATAGCCCTTCAGAGAAATGGAAAATACTGTCAACACAGCATTATAGCCAACAAAGAGATAATTATTGAGTACAAAACACAGAAGCAAAGAGGTTATGATAAGCAGAAATAAAGACAAAGCATATTTGTCCAAAACTAATTTTGAAAGGAAAAACAGAATATTTAAAGGTTTAGAACAAGAATTATAACATTATTTGGCATCAAAGGGCTATCAAGCACTCAAAGGATGCAAGTTGAGAATCCCAACACCTCGAATCAATAAGCGCACTCGTTTGAACACTCCCAGTCTCTTGTCTGTCATCTCTTATTCTAAGCACGTGTTCTCTTTCATCTCCCTTCCTCTGACCACAATCGTGAGAATAGGAAGACAGCGAGGGAGGACAAACCAAAGCGCTCGCTCCCAGGAAGGCATTTTGCTCTCTCATGTGGCCACCACACTCTCCCCATTAACGTAACCCTGCTGTCTGTCTGGCACATTAAATTTCCTCATGCCTGCTCATCCTACTCTTATTTCCTATTGTTCTATGACTTTTCCTCTCCTTTATTCGTGTTCTTTTGCTCACAACCCTCACTTCCCAATCTCTCAGTGAAATTTACAATTTCAGCATGAAGACAATAGTAGCATAAGAGGAAGAAGAAAATGTGGAAGCACAGGTTCAAGTCAGCTTAAAAAGGGTAATATAAATCTTGAAAGTGCCAAGCAAGTTATTATTCCACTATAAAGCACGTATATTGGCTTACTGTAGCTCCAATGAACTTTGCTCCTAAATGGTATTTACTAACTCTTTACAAGGAAGGGTACATTTCCAATTGTTATGACATATTCCCACTATTGTCACAGCAAAGACGGCCTTTTAAGATGGTACTAGTTAGCAAAACCATATACTGCTGATGCTGTGTGTGGTGACAGCAACATTTCCATTCTCAAAAGACCCAGTGTAGCAGTGTGACACCACGGTATGCATATTATGGACAAGAAGAAGCTAAAGAGTGGCAAGAGGACTCGTAGAAAACCAAATACTAATGAAGAGAATGAGCAAGTACTGCCTTCATATATATGCCAGCAAGGATGCCATATATAAGCTGGAAAGAGGGATGGAGGGAGCAGAGCTTTAAGAAATCTCAGGGAGATCTGATCTACCTGTCTCTTCTCAGGGAGACTTGAAATTCATGTTCTATAATGATTTTGTCAATAGGAATGAGACCCATTTCAGAACAGTTCCCTTTAGAAGAGTGACTTTCAACTGTTTCTCACCATGACACTTGGATAATACTCTCACGTACAACGCAATCCCGTACTCTCAGATTAGGGGCAAGCACTATGAAACACTCCGAGCTATATACAGTTCCTGGACTGCTGGTGGTATCTCCCCTCCTCATTTTAAAGAGAGCATATCCAAGGCATAACCTCAAATTTGCTCTAATTTCTTTTAATTCATATTTAAAAAGCAAACCTAAGTTACAAATTTTAGTACATTATACTAATGGGAAATTACTCATCACATGCATCTGTAATTCTCTCCCTGGTTCTCACTTTTCTCTGTATCTGTCCACACAGCTCTTTGAATTCCAATGTCATTACAAACTTCTATGTCTGTGTCCACATAGTTTGCCCTAATTTCACTAGCTGCTCTTAGTGGCTTGTTACATCTATATATGGGTTAGGAATACTTCCAGGAAAGCGAGGGGAAGATGGAACTTGCCTGAAGTATCAGGACAGGATAGTAGCTGTGAAATCAAAGCACACTGTGAGGACAATAAAGTAGACAGGCCTGGGGAAAGTGATTTCTTACAGGAGAAAGAACCAAGGGACTACAAGGAGGAAAGCTTATATTTTTTAATCTTGGCAAGTGACAATACGTGACTAACTTTTTCAACACGGCTAGAATTACATAATGTTAGTGCTATGATGAGAGAGACTAAATATAATATCAGCTTAAATAGTCTGATGGCGCTAGCTACTCAAAACACATCCAGTTAACTCCTGGGTGACTGTGCCGACGGGAGAGGGCAAGATGCAGATAATATGAAAAATGATTGCTTCTTCTTCTAAAACAGCTCCATTTAGATTGCGTTTTTTGAGGGCAAGAACTACACACAGGCACTAATACATGCTCTCTAAGATGAGTTGCCTGGGACAGCACCAGGGACAGAGGAGAAAGGTGGCAGAGACCATAAAGAGCGACTTGTCAAGTGGATCGTGAATATTTCATAAAATCACTGAATTCTCAGAGTTGGATGAAATAATAAAGGTCAGTGGTTTAACAGTCTGCTTAGTGCCGGAATTCCTGCTATTATGTCCTACTATTCAGTTTATGAAACTAAAATTCCAGCTCCAAACTTCATATATAGGACAAAATATTCGCCCGGTCACATCTTATGTAAGGCAGGCTATTATAAAGGGTCAGTCCTTATATAATATGGTGTAGTTAGAGCTCTCAGATTCAAATCCAGACTTTATCACTGGCTAGACATATGACCTTGAAATATACGAACTTAATTTCTCTTAGGCTTCACTTTTTACCTCTGTAAAATGAAGGTGATGCAAGTACTTAACTCATAGATTTGTTTTGAAAATTAAATAACATATATGAAGCACTTAACATAGTCCTTGTGCCCTGTTTGCTAGCTCCTGTGGAGGTTCTGTAGAGCGCTAGTCCTGAGAGACTCATTGACTAGAACATCCACTCCAGGAGAGCAGGCACTTGCTCAGGTCTGTTTACTGTGGTAATTCAAGTACTCATCAAATATCTCTTGAACAAATTAAAAGATATTAAAATGTTCATAGTAAAATTTGTTTGGAAAACTCTGCAGGTTCTAGTCTCCTCTTGGGAATCCATGACATGCTTTGACAAATAAAACGTGCTGAGATTTACTACAAACAGGTACAGGTAAGAAACCTGTTGACATTTGTTAAGCGTTTTCTAAAAATGTTAACCACTCTTTTATTTTTGAGTTTCTGCTAATGTCTAGAGCTGCATGCAATGCACATTGGAGAATGGTGTCTTTGAAATGTTATACATAAAAAAAGTAAGATCAAAGATTTCAAATAATTTCTAGTAGGGATACTAAATGCAGATTGATAGTAAAATATAAATTTTACTGTTAAATACATCACATTTTACTTTGTTATAAATAATAATATGCTTAGTAATTTAATTAAGTGCCAGAGAAGAGATAACAATATAACAATCAAGCTTCTAGTTATTGATTTGTCTTCATATATGGAATCAAACACACACACATGCACACACATATATCACAGGGCTAGAAAATACAGGAGCAAGAGATTGTTGATCATTTCCATAAAGGACTATGGGATTATGACGACAAGTATCAGAGTACCCATTCTGAATTAGGCTTTACGCTCAGTGGTTTTTTTCTGGCTACCATTTTGGTCCTCCAAAATGAAATAAGTAGTGTTAATACATTGACCTTATCTTATTGGGGTCATATAGACAGACTTTTTTATTATAATGAATGTACTTCCTGTTCTGTCCTTTGATATTTCTATTTAAAGTTCTGTGGAAATGTCACATACTTCAACAGAAACTTCAGGATAGAAAATAATCACGGGGAGGACACCCTCTTCTTTAGAAAGGTCACCTCTTGAGGATTATTTAAATCCTTCATGAAATGTAAAGAAGCTCTTATAATTTTCAGAAAGAAAAGAAACAGTATTCTCATTTGGTACCTAGAAAACAATTATTTTTTTAGTAAGTATTGACTTGTCTCAACTATTTATCAAACAAAACACTTGTCAAATATCAACACAAGCCATCACTCAATAATTTACCTTAATAGTCCCTAACACCTCCTTTGTCTTTCATCAATATCCTAAGATTCAAAGCAGCAAAGTTTAGTCATCTATAACTTTAATGTCTAAGTCATTTGACAATTTTATATCCACTAAATGGTACAAACAAAAATAATAATATTTTTTCATGAAAAAAGTTAATTATGTCTATGAGAACATTTCCAGGTATGTAACTTACATCAATAGTTAATCAATTGTTTTCCTCTCAGGCTTGAATGTTTCTAAAGAAAAAAATGTGAAATTTTCTTATCCAATCAAACTAAAAGGCAATTATTTTTCCTTAGGACTCAAGAAGAACAATAAAGTTAATGGAACTCTGATTTATAATAAACTCTTAAAATTAAAAGTAAACTTCCAAATATCTTAGCTCATTCAATACACTGGAACTTTGCCAGACCACTATCCGTCATCCCATAGAGTTCAGTTTAAGCCTTTCTTGGATCCCATGCAATGGCTGAAATACAAGAAGAGCCTTGTTACATGTCGGCTTTTCGTCATGGACTCAGAAAAATGCAGAACTGTGTGATTTAAATAGAAGGAGAATAATTGCTTCTAACTCATCATTCCATGACCTGGTGAGGAAAGCTAGTCCTAAATATAATCTTTCTGTTGAAAGAGTAAAACTAACAGTTGCCATCTGCAGTTGAGGTGGGCCCCGCGATGAGGAACCTGCTCATGGTGCCAGTGATCAGAGAATTCTCCCACGGCTCAAGTCTCTGCGGAGCACAAGCAAAGAAAGGACAGGGGAAGAGCGCTCCATAGCAGATCTAACTTGGAATTTCATGTTTGGAGGTGACTGAAGTGATTAAAATGTCCACCGTGAAATTAAACGTCTTTTTATTCAAAAGACATAGATAGAGGATAAATTCTACCAAAATTACCAGAAGAAATTCATAGCAATTTTCTCATTAGGTAACTAGCTACGGGTTTTAAACTAAATTTTAAAAATCCCACAGTTGTTTTCTTCCTCTGAGAGGATAGTTACTTACAGCTCCATGTTTGCTAAAGGGAGTGCTACGGAATAATTTACTAATAATTTATACACTATAGCAGCTGGTGGCAATAATCTAGCCTTAATTTTATTATAGTTTACATTTTTATTACACATTACAGTAATGTAGTGGAGTGATTTTTATTTGCACAATGGTTTTCACTCTTGAAGAGAATATTCTGTCATATCATTCTGACCATTTATTGGTACATTTCTCACAGCAGCTAGATAGAGACCTGAATTCTCCAGCAATCATAGACTTATTTGCACTTTGCCAAAAGCTGCTATGTAATGAGCATAGCTACGTAAATCGTGTCACTTTTGATATGTCAGAGAAATTAAATTTTGAGCTCAGCTCTAAGAATTGAATTGTGAGACAAAAATAGCTTCAGAATTGTCCTGATGATTCCCAAGCCACGCGCGAAGTTGATTAATGACAGAGCAATATGCCCTGACTAACCTAATCACTTACACATTTAATACTGACAAGGGGAAATGAGTGATATGAAAATATTTTTAACCAAATGTCCTGAAATTATACACGTCTTTGCCCAGTAACTGAATTACCCAATATTGAGCTTTACTTCCCTCTTTGGTTATGTATTGTGGATACTTACATACATATAAATAATTTTTTCTCATACAGTAGGAAACTATATTTCATCACTTCTGATGAAAAAGATGTTAACAGCTTATTAGGAAAAGATAAAGATTTTTTATTTCCCTAGTGGTGTGATAAGGTGATGCATTCTCTTAATAAAATAGCATTGTTTATTGAGCATATTTTTCAAATTTTATCCCAGTTATCCATAAACGGATATGAATTATTCAAAAAACACCTGAAAACTATTTATGCTCTCTATCAACATTTTATTTCCAGAAATTTCCTTCACTGCCTAGTTAGTTTCTCATCCTAAAGTAGTTGATACTGAATAATCAATTCCAAATCCTGTGAATTTAAATTACTGTTAATAAACAGTATTTATAATGAATTTTACACAACTATCACTTTTTCCTAGGTTGTCCTTATATAGTATGATCCATGTTGACTATTTCTATTTAATTCATTCAAGCTTTTTATCTTTCTGCTTTAAGAAGCTATGTAGTAAAAGTAAAGAATTTAGCCTTGCCCCGAGAGAGGTCTGGCCTTCACCCTCAGCCCCTAGTGGGTAATCTATGTCGTACCTGATAGAAATGTTTTTGTTCAGGGTGGAGTTGGCCACGCCAGACAGTCTTGGGTGGTCACACCAGAAAGACCAACCATGGGATTTAGGTGGGGGCTTTGGGTCACACACTGTTAGCTGATGGAGACTGAGTTCAACCATGTGGGCGATCAATCAATCAATCAATCATTTGATTGTGGAGCCACAATAAAACCCCTAAACGCTGAAGTCAGGATAAGTTTCCCTGGTTGGCAGTACTCCCTGCACATTGTCACATATCGGTGCTGGCAGGGTAATGCACACTGGTTCCTTGGGGAAGACAGTGGAAGCTTCCCAGTTGGAACCCTCTGTGTCTCTTCCTCTGGCTGATTTTAATGTCTCTTTTCCCTGTAACACACTGTGACTGAAAATACAGTAGCTTTCAGTGAGTTCTTTGAGTCCTTCTAGAAAATTACTGAATCTAAGGATGCTTTTGGAGACCCCTGGAGCCAACCCTTGCAGTTGGTGTCAGAAGTGAGGGCAATCTGCAGAGAACTGTGTCCTCAAATTTTGTGGCATGGCTAGCTCCCAGGCAGAAGTGCTTAGACGACACATTAACTAAAAGGCGCACACACACAAAACACTCAAATACGTACCGCAGAAACTCAGTGCAAAGATGAAAATTAACATCAACAGACCAAACTATAGATCAACAAACACATTTCAGTAACTTACTGTCAGTGCCCTGTGTGCTTCCTCTCATGCCTCTTGCACTATAAGTGGATTTTAAGAGTTAATTCAAGTGTTGGTGCAAAACAAACTTCAATATAAGGCAAACAGCCTTAAATATAAAAGCCTCTAGAACTGAAAGTATTAAGGCATTAATTTCATTTCTTGATGCAAAGGAAATAGCCATATGGTGTAGTGGACAAATGCAATTTAATATAACTCCCTGTAATCTTTTCAATTTTTTTTGTTTAAACACAAAGAGTAGTTCCTTTAATCAGTTCTCTTAAGACATTATTTTTGGACCCTGTCTCATCACAGGATTATTCTTGTGGATGCATCCACATTTGTCAACATCAATATTAAAACAAAGTATCTGGAATTCCTAATGTGTAGGAATTTGTGTGGTGCAGAGCAAAACGATATTTCTGAAATCTGATCCGAGTTGAATGATGTTTCTTTGATCAAACAGAGACGGTAGACCATTATATGGTGACGAATATCATTTTATGAAAAGAATTTGAGGCAGCATTAAAACAGATGAGTTAGAATTGAAATTTTAAAGTAAAATAAAACTAAAAGATTGTATATACTCTGCTTCCACTTATATTTTACTGTATCATCATCTACTACAGTGATTTGGATCAAATCAGTGTTCATTAGAATTAATTAGAGAGTTTTTGGTGTTTAAATCCTAAGTCAAGACAATCTGGATTGGCAGACTGGGTAGGACTATAGGTTTCTACATTTTAATAAGCTCCCTAAATGATTCTGTTGCATGTCAAAGCTTAAGAACTACCGATCAACTAAGTTAAAAGTTTCTTGAGAACTGGATCTAACAAACTGCTTTGCACTAAGTAAATGTTGATTTTAAATTGATTGCTTTCTAGGAATTAAATTTTTCAACATTGTACAATTTAATTAACTGTAATTGTTTAATTTTAGTGATTTTTATCAGGTAATATATGTGTTTATATTATTTCCATGACAATTACTTTGTTTGACAGTATCTTTAGCTGAATTCATTATCAGAAATGAACTCTGGCAAGTTGTTCTGAATGTCTTAATATTTCATTCGACATTACTTAAATCAGAGGTTTTTTCAGTAGAAAAAATTTATGTCTTCAATACAATTTTATGAATGTGAAAATTTAGTTCTTCATATATTTTAAAATGAGGAAGGAATAAGTATAAGAGAAATGTTTTAAAACATTTTTCATGTAACAACAAAAGTTTATATTTGCTTCATTAATATAACTGTCCCTTAGATTATTCATATGAAAATACGATAAGAATTTGAAATAAGAATTTGGGGTTAGAGCAAGTTGAAGGGCAAATTCCTCGAATTCTAACAGCTTCCTAGAAGTGAAATGTTTACTTCAGTTGTTTGGAAAAAAATGAGAAAGTCATTTCATTTTTTCACATTAAAAAAAAAATGCTGGTCTATGGCCAGTACCCACTGACTTCTAAGCCAGCAGGCAGTGTCGTAATGACATATGTAGCTGGTCATTGGGGTAGGAAAACAGCAAGAATGTGTGAACAATTTTATAAATTCCTCAAGTGATATCCCGAGAGCGATGAGACAGTAGCATTATTTTCACAGGTTTTAGGAAAAGCTTTTTATTCTGTAAGTTCTGCCATTCCTTTTAAAGAACACTAAATTTCTTCTGATAGAAAATTAAGTTATGACATTTTTGGATTATTGTTTTAATTTCTGTGGGCTCAACATAATTCATATTGAAACCGCAAAGGGAATTTAAAATATCCATTGTATTTACAGATATTACTTGTGAAATTACACTATAATCAGAAGGAAGCAGGATGACTAAGTTCTAGATGTCACAAATGTCAATATCATAAAAAAACAATCCTGCTGTGGACACTCCACATTTAAAGATTTATGAATGCAAATACTTAGTGTATATCTCTTCTTTGTCAGCAAAATGATGGTTCTATTATTTGAAGATTATCAATAATCCCTATTGAATATCATGTGAAAAAATAAGAACCAAGAGTGAGAAGTTTAGAGAAAGAAATGGATGGCAGAGAAGGCAAAAAAGGTATTTTAAAACAGTCCTCAGGAAAAAAATGGAAATGAAGTGAAATATCATGAAACTTAGAAAATAATTTCTAGGACAGATTGGTGGTTGCCCAAAGGGAAGGGATTTAGGAGGGTGGGCAAAATGGGTGAAGGGGTCAACAGGCACAAACTGCCAGTTATAAAATAAATGGCATAGAATGTAATGTACAGCGTGGTGAATATAGTCAATAATATTGTATTGCATATTTGAAAGTTCCTAAGAAAGTAAATCTTAAAGGTCGTCATCATAAGAAAAAAATGTTGTAACTTGGTATAGCGATGGATGGTAACTAGACTTATTGTGATGATCATTTTGCAATATATACAAATAATGAATCATTATGTTGTATGCCTGAAACTAATATAATGTTACATATCAATTACACCTCAAAAAAAAAATTTCTCTGTCTATGAGGAGTGAAGAAATCAAGCCACTTGTAAGAAGGGTGGAACTCATGAAGCGATCTTGGGAGACCTGGGGTTATACAAATACATCTATTGGACAAAGGTTTAAGAATATATTCCTCGACAAGCTTAATAAAGCCGAGTACGTTAAGTAAAGGTTACACAAACTTCGTTCAATCTGAAAATGCAAGATCAAGCTCTTCTGCATTTCTGAATCCAATAAAAGAATCAGAGGTGGAAACTGATAGCATTCAGTCACAAATTGAGAGAGGCTCCTGGGAGATCAGATACACAAAATTCCTTTTAGTATAGATATTCTCTGCAATATGAAAATAATTAAAATAGTTTTCCACACTTCCCAGAAGAGAGTTTGAAATTTGTTTTATCAATTGTGAATAATAAATGGGTACTAATTATCCACTACACCTTTACTAATTAAATATGTGTATGATATCATTTATATGATTTTAACTAGTGCATGACTTTATATTATTTCAAGGCTTATAAAATGGACAAAGGGTTTAATACCTTCATTCACAACTTTGATCTCCCTTTCCTGTCTTTCTCTTACAATTTTAAGTTGTTCATCTATAAATTGTTCAATATAGGAGATTTCATTACCTAACACTCCCAGTAGGAAACAGTCTACTGTTTATTAAATCATCTGTCAATAAAATTAAAAAGTGGAATAGAAATGCAGAGTGGAATGTAGTGAATGAAAAATACTATCTCAGGTATAATCCACTTATCATTACTCTTTTTACTCCCCAGCCCCAATAAAACTCTTGAATTTTTTTTTTTTAATGTTGAGGAAGATTCACCCTGTGCTAACATCTGCACCAGTCTTCCTCTGTTTTGTACATGGGATGCCACCATGGCATGGCAGATGGATGGTGTAGGTCCGTGCCTGGGATCTGAACCTCTGAACCCGGGCAGACGAAGCCGAGTGTAACAAACTCAACTACCACACCATTGGTGCTGGCCCCTAAAACCCTTGAATTTTTCTGGTCAAATTTTAAAAATGGCAACTTGAAAATAAATATAATTTAAGTATAATTGCAGAATCGGAGGGCCAAAATTCTATTATTATCACAGCAAGTAAAAAAACCCTGCAACACAGTCCACCTGTTTCGCACTGTTAGTACTAATAAAGGTAGTAGCTGATCTCTCCAGGACAAAAAAAATTTCTTTTGATAATGGAAATCATAAGCATTAGTGGAACACCAGTGTTTTTAGGTAGTTACATAACAGGCTGTTTGATTTTTTCATTAAGGTCAAGTGCTTAGAAATGTTTTTCAAAATTACAGGCACAATATTACTTGATTCTAAAACTGGTGCAACATCTCAAAAAACTACCTTTTTTTGCAGTATAATTGGAATCTAGAAAAACTTTTTTTTTTGCTATTCCTCTTTGTAATCTATTATAGACATATTTACAATGAGGTTAACTTATTCTGATAAGAAATTATTGAATAACAATAAATCCAAAATTATTTAAATATTTAAAGTATTGGCTGTAGAAGAAGGGAGAGGGATGTGAAGGAAATAAGAGAAGCCATAGCTTGCCTCTTTCTGGCAGCTTGGAAAACACAAAAGATGGCAATCTTCCTCTGCCTCTCTCTCTCTTGCCCTCTCCCTTCCTCTCTCTCTCTCTCTCTCTCTTTGGGGTTTTGGTGGGTTTCAAATCTCTCTTCTGAAATTTTGAATCACCATGACAAATATTTAAACTGATAAAGAGATAACGTAGAAGAGCACAAATACCTAACAAATTAGGACATGCCAGATCATCTGCTCCATCTACGGGCACACATTTCTAGGTAGCTGGGTTCCATAAGAATGATATGTGCTCATTAGACATAAGGAATAGGATTTAATTGTGGTGAAGTTTAACGTGAAACCCCTGAGTTGGAATCCTAGCACTGCCTTTTGTGAGACGCACAAATTGTACAAGTCATTTATCCTTTACAACTTCTAGTATTCTTGCCTAAAAGTAAGTGCAATTATATGTATAAGAACAGCAAAAATATTATAGCTAAAAAGTTATACTAATATTACTGGCTGCCATTTGTGTGATACTTACTGTATGTCAGGCATACTTAATTCTCACAGCAACACTGAGTTAGACGTGATGATGTCTACATAATACACAAAGAAGCAGAAGGGCAGAAACCCTGACTCTGAAGCACATAACTGCTATTAAGGATAATAATAGCCTTTTTGCCTAGGTTCCAGACAGTTGTGAATACATAATTTAAAAATGTGTGCAGGATCTTTGCAAATTAAATTGCTAACTATGAGGTGTTGCTATTATCATATGGAATTTAACTAGAAGCTTTTTCAAAGGAAGAGGAGCTGTCCGAATCCCTAGCTTCATGAAGAAATAGGAGAGAACCACACTCGAGTTTTAAATCAGAAATAACACAGAAGACTTCGAGATCATCTAGGCCTCTGCCTTCCGCAAGTTCAAAAGTAAGACACAACGTCGTCAGGTGAACCGCCTCACATCAGGCAGTAGGAAGCAGAAGACCTGGGAAGAGAACTGGGTTTCCGAGACTCCGAACGCCATGCTATTTTAGCATCCCTAAGGGAGCTGCACCTTGAATATCTGACTTTTCATGGATAACCTTTGTTCCAACAGGTGGAAGTACCAACAGGTGGAAGAAAATAATAACATTTAAGTCCTAAGAAATCCTTTGATTATGAAACTAAACATAGTTTGATTCTAAAACCAAGCACACTACACAGGAGTTCAATGTGATATCTAAGGAAAATTGATTAATTTTTGAACGTAGTTTAAGTGAGAACAAAGCATCATCTGACCAACGCAGCTGTTCACAATGTGGACAGAACGTTACTCAGGTTTCAAACACCAGCCTGAGGGAGGAGACAGTGGATACATGGTCTGGGGGCCAATCACTCTATATCAGAACAAATAAATAGCCTAGTTTGAGCTGCCAAATCGGGAACAAGAAGGAAAAAACATTCAAGCCAGTTATGCAAGCATATGAGGAGTATAAAACATAAGCAAAAATTAAAACTGGAAAGAAATTTGATATGCAAATATAGACAAGAAACTCAGCTGAGTAAAAAAGCATAATCCCAGGAAGTGAAGAAAAAATTTATGTAAGTGCTCTAGGAAATAAGATGAGTTACAAATTGAATTCTGCAAAAGAGGTGTTTATAGATGAGCAGTTAAAACAATGAAACAGGATGAAAGGCGAAATTGAACCCTACAGAAACAAAATGAAGACCAAAATAACCAATAATAAAATAAATAAACAGATTAGAAACAAGAGGGAACAAAATACCCGTGGCTGAAAGTTGAGTTACTAACACAGTGGAGAGCCTGAATGTAACCGGGGTACCTGTATATAGAAGAAGAAAGAGACTTCACAAATTAGAAAGGAACTAATAAAAAGGAAGGTTAAACACTCTCTAATTTAAAAATAAAGCAATCCTGACATAGTGATCTGAACAAACGAAACTGAAAATTACCCAAAATACAAGAATTTTTTATTAAAATAAAGAACCCACCATATTCCAAAAAAAGAGATGTAGAATGCTCCAACACTGGTACACATCCTGGCTAGCTTATGAACTTCAAGGATGAAGATGCAGTTCTGCAGCAAACCAGGACGAAATAAACTTCCTGGGGGAAGCGTTGGCAGCGACAGTGCTGGAAAATATATTCTAGACATTCCACTGTAACAATCCATGGAGTAGTAACTATGTACGGAAAAACACCTCTAGCCAAAATGTCATTAAACTATAAAAGCAAGAGTAAAAGATTCTCAAATACATATATATTTAAAATCAAGAAAAATAATAACTATCTCCATATTGTGGAGTGGTGGCAATTGACGACAAAATCCAGTCAACCGAGGGATGGATCAAAATGACAACATTGGGAATGGAGAAGTTAAGTAGAAAGGATTGGTGGTGAACACTGAATTGATGTAATACAAATATTAGACTAATACTACATTTAAAAAGATAATTATAAATCAGAATGTAAATTACATAACCTTTCACATTATAAAGATGATGATAAAGCTTATAAAAATAAGGAGGTTAGTGAAAGGAGAGTGAATTAAGATTAAGAAAGCTTAAATTCATGAATATGGTCTGAAGTTTTTATATATTGTTAAAAAATGCATATTTTCAGCCTTTTAATTTTTCTCATAATTAATTGTGTTAATTTCTTTTTTAATTGTATTAATTTCCTTTTCCAAACCTAGAGAAATCTTTTAGGAGATAAAATCTGCTGTGGTGAAGAAATAATTCCCAGAAACTAAGCAATTTAATAACTTTTATTTTTACATTAAAAATATTTTAATTTGGGGCTGGCCGAGCTGCACAGCGGTTAAGTGTTCCGCTTCGGTGGCCAGGGGTTCACTGGTTTGGATCCCTGGTGAGGACATGGCACTGCTTGGCACGCCATGCTGTGGTAGGCGTCCCACATATAAAGTAGAGGAAGATGGGCATGGATGTTAGCTCAGGGCCAGTCTTCCTCAGAAAAAAGAGGAGGATGGGCAGCAGTTAGCTCAGGGCTAATCTTCCTCAAAAGAAAAATTTAATTTGCTTAAATTTTAATTTAATATATTTGATGTAGCA